GCATTTGCATATGACTCTTTGTCAATTGCTTTAAATACAGTCAACATTTGTTTATATGTACAAGTTCTGGCTTACAATATCCAAATTGCCAGATCAATTGAAGCTAGATCTGATGGTCTAGTTTACATTTATTTTATATTCCAGAAACCGAAGGTTGAGTTTGTTATCAATTGGCAACATTGTGAGTTTCCATGCTGCCTGACGGTCTCTGACAGTTTGGGAATAAGCCCACTCTATTCCAAATTACCTCTGGTTTCACAAATACATTATCTGAAACCTCATTCCTACTTCAGCAACAACTTACATTTATATTTTGCCCTTCATACAGAATAGCACCTCAGAGCACTGCAGTTACTGTTGTGTAGTTAAAAGGAATGATATTTCAAACAATGCAATGAAAACATAAATAGAATTTCTGTCTATCTGAAAACAGTCACGTGCTGTTTACTCTTTACTTAAAACAGCTATGTAAAACATTTCTATTTACTTCAGCCTTCTTTGTCCCAAGTATTCCCTTTTAGCACAAGAGCAAAAGATGAATATTTGATGTGGTTAGAAGCTGAACAAATTAAAATCAAAGGAATTGATGATGAGAACAAATTGGTTATATTTCTGAAATCTACATCCTGTGGTATTATAGTGTCAGCCCTTCACTAAAAGGCAGTACATGTTTACACAAACTGTAGCCTAGCCCCGAATGTAATGGATAAACCTAAAATATCAATCCAATTGCATTTAAAGTTTGCTGAATAAGAAACTGTAGGCTGCTGGTTCAAACCCGGCCAATTTATAGTTGAATTCAGGTCTAACTTTGAAGCTTGTTTACTGCAATTCTTGAAAGAAATAGCCAACTTCAAAACCAGCTTCAAAATTTAAGACTGCATTTAAAATTCTGACAAATTCTGTATGCCCTGAAATACTTTGCTAATGGAGTAAATCTGGTCCCAGGATCTAGAATTTCTACCCACAGGTTTTCAACCAATTTTTATTGTTGGGAATACTGTATATAATTTACATTTTATTTTAACATCAGCAGCCTTCAGACGTACAACATTGGAGAACTCTGCATTGAATTCATTAAATGCTACAAACTTGTGTAGGTCGTGTTCTTGTAAATGTAAAGGTCACATATCTAGAACTTCCTCCCCACACTACCAATATGTAACTTAACCAAAGCCATTCTATTCTGAGTGCAGGACACTAGAAATAGTTTGCAACTATTATCTCATAAGAATTTTTCTTTTTCATGTGACCACTGCTTCACCATTACAGTTGATGATTTACAATCCTGATGACGTTTATGTCATTAGACTTTCTTATTGTAACATTCCTAGTGTGCAGGACATTGCAACACTACAAATGATTTCTGATTATTTGTTTAGCTTCTCAGGGAGATTCTCAAGCCAGTCTCAGATGGTAATACTCTTGCCTCTCAGTCTCTGGTTTTAGCTCAAGCCCATATTGTGACTCCAGTGCAGTTCTTTTGGAGGAGGTGCGGAGCTGCACTGTCGGAGGTGCCATTCTTTAGATGAGCCATCTTACTGAGATCCCATCTGCCTGTGCAGATGGACATTAAAGAATCCATGGCACTATTTGAAAAGAGAAGGAAGTCTTTTCCTCTGTCCTAGTCAACAACACCCGATAAACTTCTTCATTCACTTCACAACGGTGGGACATTCCTTCGCGCAAATTGGCTGTCATATTCACCTGCAAAATACACAGCCACCACACTTTTCAGTAAATCAAGTGGAGTGCTTTGTGATGTCCTCTCAAAAAAAAAGGTGCTATATCAAATTCTGGGAATAATAATCCCTCCAAAAAAATGTAATGCATGACTGTTTATGGGACACTGCTGTGCGCAATTGGCTGCCACGTTTTGTTCACAAAACATGCAGTCAATCCATTTACAGTACATCCTGTAAAGTGCTTTGAGATATATCAAATATATCAAATGCAACGATTATTATTATTATTGTTCAAAAAAAGTATATCGTTCACATTCATCACAAAAGTTATTAACAATTATTGACCACAGATTTAGTATAGATAACTGTATTTACTGTATTAAAACAGTTTTTAAAAAAATGTAATGCAACTGATGGAAAAAATATTCAGGCTAATTAAATCAACCGTATCATATCATGAAATTTATTGACTAGAAAGTGACTGTAACATGGCTCTTCATTTACACAACTGTCTTAGTGTTGCTTAATCAATTATAGTAACAGCTGGCCCTTTAAGACTGTACAAGTGAAGCTTTTTATTTCTCAGAGTGACCCTGATACATAATCTTCAATCAGTTTTGTGGCAATTAGAGCAAAGACAAGATGAAGGCATTATTGTTGGTGACTTGCTGCTGCTGCTATTGCTGTATATTTCACAAGTCATTTAGGCTAGTGAGGAAATCCAGGAAAACAAAAGCATATGAAGATATGAATCTAGACAAATAAAAACTGATACTAAAGTAAAAATGCACAAGGTCAGAATATTGTCAGATTACCGACCAGACAACCAAAGATTTTGGAAGAAAGTGAATCATTTCATCAAACTTTCACATCGGGAGGACATCCAAAGTGTTTCATAGAATATACTGTAAAGTGCAGTGACTGTGTGTTTTGTGTGTAAATACAGCAGCCAGTTTGTGCACAGCAACATCCCACAAACATGCTTGAAATGAATCATCAATGTTATTTGGAGAATTGTTGGCCAGGACACTGAGAGAAACTCCCCTCTGCCCTTGGCTCCCATCAGCACCTTCTGATCTCAGGCGCTGACAGCATCAGTATAAATGGATGATCTCTCCACCTCACCGAGCCAGTACATAGCCTTAGTGTTTTGTTCGACTTCCAACTGTCCTTTAAACCCCATGTCTGTTCCTCATTCCCCAGAGAATCGGGTTCAAGATCCTCATTCTCACTATTAAAGCCCTCCCTACATCTGCGACCTGACAAAATCTTACCAACCTTTCACTCCCTCCGCTCGGCCGGTGTTGGCCTGCTTCCAGTCCCCCGCCTTGCCCACCCAGTCAGGTTTTCAGCCTTTCTGCTCACCCTCTGGAACTCCATTCCTGCAGAGTCCCTTTGCCTCACCTCTTCCCTGGCCCCCTGCAAAGTCCATCTCAAGACCTTCCTCTTTGACATTGCCTTCGACCATCCCCTTCTCCTCCACCTCTCTTGAATCCAACCCCCAGCTCAGATGCAAACCTTCAACTGTCCAGTGCATAGGGTCGTCCATCCGATGTGAAAGGTGTAACATAATTGTGATTCGGTGTTGCATTCTATATGTAATACCTTGCTCTGATAACTGGCAAATGAAGTTTCATACAGATAAGGCGTTGACAACATAGGCGCTGACAGCATCAGCATCCAAGGCTGTACTCTCCACCTATCAAAGCCAATCAGGAACCTCAGTGTTCTGTTTGACCCTGAGCTGTCCTTTCTTCCCCACATCCGCGCCACAGCTGGCAATGCCTTCCACCACCTCCGGAACATTGCCAGACTACGGCACTACCTCACCCCTCACGCTGCTGAAACTCTGGTCCACGCCTTTATCACTTCAAGGCTGGACTATGGGAACTCTCTCCTCGTCGGCCTTCCCGGCACCTCCCTCCACAAGCTGCAGGTCATTCAGAACTCTGCAGCTCGTGTACTGTCCCGCACCAGGCTTCGCGACCACATCACTCCCACCCTCGCTCGCCTCCACTGGCTCCCCATCCCCCAGAGGATCGAATTCAAGATCCTCATCCTCACCTACAAGGCCATTCACGGCCTCGCTCCCTCCTACCTCTCCGAACTACTATCCCCCCACGTACCTGCCCGTACCCTCCATTTCTCTGGCTCCGGTCTGCTCCACATCCCCCGCCCTAACCACCCTACCATCGGTGGCCGGGCCTTCAGCCTCTCAGCCCCCAGGCTCTGGAACTCCATCCCCCAGTGCCTTCGCCGCTCCTCCCTTTCCTCCTTCAAGGTGGGTCTCAAGACCTTTTTCTTCAACCGTGCCTTCAGCTCCCCTCTCGACTCTCTACCCCCTCATCGCTCCCTCCTTTCACTCCCCTCACCCTAACCATTTCCCCCCTGCTCGGGTCCCGACCTAACTGTCCAGTGCCTTGGGACGTCCTTCCGACATGAAAGGCGCTCTATAAATGCAATCTTGTTGTTGTTGTTGTTGCATTTATCTATATGAAACTTCATTTGCCAGTTATCAGCCAATGATATATACCCTATCATAGACCACAGGCTTCCTTTGTCCTCCCCTTTGCTACCCAAAATAGCAGGACTTGCTCGCTTGTTGCAGTCCAGAGAAGACATAGGGGCCTGTGAGTTTTCTCACTATGTTTATGTGTGAAACCCTACAGTGTCCCACATTAGCAGCTTCCGCACTGCCAGTAACCAAAATTAGTTACAATATATAATAATAATAATAATAATAATCCTTGCATTTGATATAGCGCTTTTCACGTCAGGAGGATGTCCCAAAGCGCTTCACAGAACACACTGTAAAGTGAATTGACTGTATATTTGTGGGCGAAAGCGGCAGCCAATTGCGCACAGCAATGTCCCACAAACAGTCGTAGATTGAAAATGACCAATTTATTATTGTTTTTGCTTTGGAGGGATTATTATTAGGCGTGTGGAGTAAGGAAACTTGCCCAAGGTTTCGCCCTGCATGGAATTGAACTCAGGTCTCTCGCTTGCAAAGCGAGTGCTCTAAGTAGTTTAGTTTGGAGATTCAGCATGGTGATGGGTTTTCATGTGTGTCAGAAACTTGGCTTTCCCCCAAATAATGAATCCATTCTCTCATTCAATCTGAAGCATGATGCAACTTCCCCTAATGTGTTGAGAAGGTTTCTCTCATGTGGGACAGGAAATCTACATCAGATATGAGGATTGAGATACTTATATACTTCAGAAGGCACCTCTGATTGAGCACAGTTCTCCTCAGCTTGAGTGGTATCTATTAATGAGAATTTTAAAAGAGAGATACAACAACAACCTGCACTTACATAGCGCCCTCCATGCAGGGTAGGATCTCAGAGCGCTTAGAGATCCAACAAAATTCCTCAAAATAAGGTTTTCAGTCAAGTAAAGCAGTGAATGTTGAAATGGAGTCTTTGAAGGAAAGACTGTGGACAACTTTGCTCTTAACAACCATTCGCATTACTCTTCTACTCCCAGGTAAGTCATGCTTACTTTATTTTTAAGTGTCTCATATTTTAAGGAATCAGCAGGGAGTTTCTTTATTTTTTCTTCATTCCATTCCTGGTGTGCAAAATACCAAAGCTGCTTCTTTACGTATGTCCTTCAAATTCTTTACTTAAAAAACAGCTGGTAATTTGGTGCTAGATGGAGCCGAGTTCACGTTTATGTTTTTAGAAGCTTTGGATTACATAACTGTCCTATGTAGCAACAGTCAAATAATGCATTCAGTGTATGTGTGTGTTTTGGTGTGTGTGTAGTGCAGGATGATTAAGTTCAATGTTTGCAAAAACAAAGTGATGTGTTGTAAAGATATGTATTTACATAAAATTAGTCATGTTTATTTTCACAGTCAACTTTTTATTAAGTTGGTGACGCTGAATAGTTTGTAAATGTCGAATGAAAAAGTTGCGCTTGAGCTTTAAAAATAATTGTACTGAAGCCATTTACGCTTCTGGTTGACCTCAGGCTGTTTTTTCTAGCTCAGGTTGTTCTTCTCAATCTCTTAAAATGTGTGGGTTTGAGTTCCACATTGGGGCTTCAGTTTACAATCTCGGCTGTTACTCCAGTGCAGTGCAAGGGCATTGCTAGATAAGATGTTAAACCAAAGTCCCATCAGGTTGGCCAATAAAGATCCCAAGTGCAAGAAGATAAGGGTGCTTCTCCTGATGTCCTGGCTAACATTTGGCCAATAAAATTGGTCATTCACTTCATGGATGTCTATTGGACATTGAAGTATGCAAAATCAGCTGCTGCATTCATCTACAAAAAAATACAGTCACTAAACTTCACAGTAAAATCATGTGAAGTGGTCTGAGATGTCTTTCTGAATTCAAAACTCTAAATCAAATGCAGCAATTATTTTTATTATTAAAATGCCTATGTTTAGTTGAGGTCTCATTTATGATCTCATTTATTTCTTAATATATTCATCAGTAAGAAATATGTAATTCTCAAATTTCTCAGATATTGAATTTATTGGAAAATGCATTTAATCATATTTTACATATGATAATCCTTCATTTAGTATAATGACTTGGTGGGGAAATTAAAAAATACAATAAAGAGAGAAATTAATATGAAATTAATAATGTCAACATTTTGCTTAGGTATTAATTTAAAAATATATAAATAATTATTTTAGATCATATTTCAATTGATAACACCTTATCATTTGATACAATGCCTGAGGATAAAAAATGTCCAAAAAATCTTTATTTTATCTTTTTAAATAAATAAATTTGATCTTTTTAAATTAATTTACACTCAGAACCTCTTGTTATCTATATGCCAGATTCCTAGTTATTTTTATTGAGCTTTATTACTATTTATACACAATAAGCACATACAAATACAAAAGAGAAGCAAATACAGAAGGAAATGGAGTCTTGCTACATTTAAAAAAATATTGTAATACTGCTAAAAGTAGGTTTTTCTCAACAAAAGCTTGTATATATGATCCTGTATATTTAATTATTTCTTACCCGAAAAATTCCAATTTATAATGTTTCAATGGCTTTAGGTTTCTATGCATTTTATCTCAATAAAGTCATAAATGTATTGCTTGGAGATCTTATATTTGGCTCATTCCAGTAAGCGTTTTTGGAGCTGCACATCTTTCTGGTATCTTGAGTTGATACCAGAAAGAAATATGTAATTCATACATGTGAGTTTGGATGCAAACTGAGGCAGAATGGCAGAAAATAAGAAATCTATTTGGGAGCAAAACCTGGGAGAGAGGTCATAGGTTGCTGGTGTAACCCCTTGATGGATTAAGTAGGAGTATTAAGCGATGAAGACTAGGAAACCCTATCAAGGGCAGACAAGAGATGGGAACAAATGACATGATGTTAATTTCCTGCAGTTTCATTGTTTGCAGGAAATATTCCCAGATCTTATGGAATGTCTTCTGTTGAAGGTCTATCTCCTCTCATCTGTCATTTTGCTGATATTACTTATGATGGAATCCAAAAACACATATAATCTTGAGGCACAAACAAAGCACGGGCCCTCTACTTCACATTCTCTCCAATACCAGTCATCCCGTCATCCAGAATGTGGAAAATCTTTATTTTATCTTTTAAAATAAATTTGTTTTCAGCACCTTTGGTTATCTTTTTGGCCAAATTACTAGTTACTTTTACTGAGCTTTATTATTATTGTGTATAAACACATAGAAAATAAGTGCACACAAAAACAAGAAAGATCTAAATTCTAGGTGTTAAACCGGCACACTTAGTAGAGCTCTCTGAATTAGAAGGTTTTGGTGCAAGTCCCACATCACTACTTTGAACTCACGGTCTTGACTGACAGTCTAATGCAATATTGGAATAATCTCTCCAAAAAAACAATAATAAATTGGTCATTTTCAATCCAAGACTGTTTGTGGGACACTGCTGTGCGCAATTGGCTGCTGCATTTCGCCCACAAATATACAGTCAATTCACTTCACAGTCTATTCTGTGCAGAGCTTTGAGATGTCGAGAAGATGTGAAAAGCGCTAAATCAAATGCAAGGATTATTATTATTATAAGATTTATATTGAACTATTGTGAAGTACTATATTGTGAAGTTAACTAGACTATAAAATACTTTGAAGTGCTATGAGATATCTCAATGAGATGATGAGGAGCTTTGAAGCCTCCTCCTGACGTGAAAGGCATTTATAAATTTAAATTGTATTATTTTTACTATTTAACTCTGGATAGATTAATTTAAATCTATCAGGGGTTCACGTAAAACATTTTCCAGCTTTACAGTAATTGCAGCAATTGTTTGTGTCTATTTTTATTTGATGATCAAAGGGTAGTTTTCTAAAAAGGCTTTGAAAAAGATTAATGAACTTTACAGAGAGAATACCAAAAANTGAGACCACAAAAAGACAAAAANGTCAATGAAAAGCTATGTAACATTGCCATAGGGGTTGCTATGGGGAAGTGTGACTTTAGTAATACAGAAGCTCAGCAAAATAAAAGGTTAGTTATGTTTCGTGATCATTTTGCTTCTATGCAATTTCTTCCCGCTCTCCCTCCCCCAACTCAAGTTCACAGTCAACTGCTTTGTTGTTCTTCCAACGTGAAAGGCATTACAGTACATCAATATAAAAATTGAATTGTATTAATTGACTCGTTTTGCTGATAATAGGAGATTATTCTTCCTTGAATCATTGTATTTGTTTTAATATACAGTAAAAAGAAATACACTCATTATAAGAAGCAAAGAACAATACAATCCATGTTTTCACCACTCCTATAAAATTATGGGTTAGTTCCTCAATTTGTAGGATTCGATTTACTAGTTTTATTTCATCAGCAAAATTGATACAGGTAAAGTGCCTTTAGAAGAAATAACAAAACATTGAAATAAATAATTAGAAAGTGTAATTTTAACGATGGTCACTACTTTCGTTGGCAACTATTGACAAATAACATTTTTTAAAAATTATGTTTTTGTACAATTTAAAACATGTACACATTCAATACAAAGAAAGGGTCATTTATCAAAAAAAAACCTGCAGTTGGTAAAGTGTATGATGTGGTCAAAACATTTCAAAGCGATTCACAGGATTTACTCTGAAGTGTAAAAACTGTATACAGTATTTGGAGGTGACATCTCATTGAAGCAAATTTCACAGGCTTAACTATTTGATCTGAAAACCATTATGGCTAATACTCCGATCTAATGTGTAGATCAATTATAAAAATACTATTCCTAGCCTCAGCCACACCACACCACACCTTGCCACTGTGAAGTGCTCCAAAGGCATTATATAAATGCGAGTCGTTGTTGTAAATCCAAATGAAGGCCTGTATGAACCTTACCAAGTTTAAATATTTTATCTTTGCAACTCCAGATCACTGAAACGTTTGCTTGAAATTCTACATGCATTCCATGTTGCAAAGACACTCATTATATTGAAAGTGACCCCATTTAAAATGTTCTCAAATAGAGATGTAATTTTTTCTTCTGCTTAGAAGTTAAGTTCTTCTGCTTTGTGGAGTCCTGTAGCTCAGTGGTTAGAGCACTCGCTTTGCAAGCGAGAGACGTGAGTTCAATTCCAGGAAGAGCGAAACCTTGGGCAAGTTTCCTTACTCCACACGCCTTATAATAATCCCTCCAAAAAACAAAACAATAATAAATTGGTCATTTTCAATCCACGACTGTTTGTGGAACATTGCTGTGCGCTATTGGCTGCCGCGTTCTCCCACAAATATACAGTCAATTCACTTTACAGTGTGTTCTGTGAAGCGCTTTGGGACGTCCTCCGACGTAAAAAGCGCTATATCAAAATGCAAGGATTATTATTATTATTATTAAACTAAATTGTGAAGTTTTATTCTGATGGTTTGTGCTACTTTTTCATATAAAAAGGAGTGGTCTATAAGTGAGCCGAATATCAGTGCCAGCCTGGCATAAGTTGGTAAAACTCCTATATCTGAATCAGAAGGTTGTGAATTCAAGCCCCATATCTGGATCTTAAGCTTGTAGTCTATACTGACACGGAATGCTGTCTGTATCCATCGAACCATAGAATTTTGCAGCACTTAAGGAGCCATTCGGCCCATTATGCCTGTGTTGATTCTTTGAAAGAGTTACCAGCTGGTCCCACTCCCCCGATCTTATCACATAGCCCTGCAAATTTTTCTTTTTGTCCAGGATTAGCAGTGTGTATTCCTCTGGGAAGAAAGTGCCCACTCCATTCCATTCTGGGAAAATGTCCATGCTTACGTGAAACTCTCATGTTGGTTAGGATGCTCTTAAGTATGGTAATGCGGTTCCTGGTTGACCAAAAAAAAGAATTTAATGATAGCACAAGTAGCTCTGAACCATTTTACATATAAATTTGATTCAGGTTTAATCAGATTAATCCTCCAATTAGTTCACTTTCAAAAACATAGCTCACCGATTACATCTCCTGTAGCATCTAACATTTCTCTATAGACAACAGATTGAATGATTCCCTTATCTGATCAAAAGAAAACTGACAAAGAAATTGTCTATGCCATGATGTTTAACCCTTGACCTGTCAAAGAAGCATCAAGTACTAAACAAGACACATTGCAATGTACTAAGCTACATTATGTTATTCATTACAAGAACAACTTGCATTTATATAGTACCCCTCACGCCGGGTAGCGTTCCAGGGAGCTTAAAATTACATGTTTTATTAGAAATATATAATTAAGAGACAATTGTACAATCACAGATATTGTATGACAACATATAGCTGGGCTCAGTTGTAGGCCAGAAGATTCAAGGAATTTTAGTAGCAGAGTTGAATTCTCAAAATAAAGAAATAAAAGTTTTGTTCTCAGCCTTTTACAAATCCACCTTTGTGGGTCTGTGTATTAAGTCAGAGGGTAAGAGAGCAATGCAATGTAATCCTTGTTAATTAATCTGCAGCATTTAAATTCCAAGCTGTTCATTGATGCAGTTTTGTAATTCTTTTGCTCCCTACTTCTTCATTGAAGTCTTTTCTTTAGGTCCTCTGGGTTAGCCCTTTCTACAATGTTACTGTTCCTTAGCAGTTGATACGTAGCTCAAATTTGAGGCTTGCATAGAGGCTTGTCTTATTAAAGTCGGCTGATCAGAAAAGTCTATCACTTTAAGAGCCTTTCTTTCTTCTGTTCCTTCTTTCTCTAAAGCAGAACTATTGAGGTTCTGTTCTGTGACCGCATAATTTTCAGTATCTTTCTTGAACTTACTCTGACTTTTCTTCACCTCACTTGGTTCTCACTTCTCACTTTCTCTTCTCTGATTTCTCAATGTTCTTTGTTACTTGATTTCTCATTATACCTCATTATACCCCCTACCTCTCAGACCTCCTAACCCCCTACCACCCTGTTCGCTCCCTCGCTCAGGGGGCTCCGGCTTGCTCCACGTTCCCCGCTAGCTCGCCCCACTATCGGCAGGTGGGCCTTCCGCCACTCTGCACCCACCCTCTGGAACTCCATCCCCCAGTCCCTCCGTCTCACCCCCTACTTTGCCTCCTGCTTCTCCCCCTGCCCTCCCCTCTCCCCCACCCCAACCCTCAGCTCGGGTCCATAACTCTGTCTGTCCAGCACTTTGGGACTTCGTCCCGACGTGAAAGGTGCTATACAAATGTAATTTTGTTGTTGTTGTTGTTATTGTTGCTGTTGTTATACACCATTATAGAAGGGCTGGAGTTAGGAATAATAAAAAAAACTTAATATTCTCAATGTGGGAAGTATAGGGGAAGGAGTATCATTTTCCCCATTCCTGTTATGGAATGGGGGAGCGGTGGGGGGTGCTTAAAAAAGCAGTTTAATGTAGAATTATGACAAAGCTGGTGAGGGTTGAGAAGGGCTGGGAGTGAGGGTGATTTGATAGTTGACGTTGGAATGCTGAAGGTTTTTCACCAATGGCAGATTGAACAAGGGTGCTGTACTGTGCTAAGCTGAGCTGAGCTGCTGACCACAAGGGTGAGAATCCAGACACAGTCAACATCACTCCACAAAATTCAGTGATTGAAGAGTTTGTCTAATCATTCCTCACAGCTCATTCCTCTAACACTTTTGTTGCTTGTTGCTCCCCTCTGCACAATCTTTGGGGCCTGGAATGCCCCCTTATGTCATGGTGAGGAGAACTGTATTCTGTACTCTAAACTTGGTCTGACCAGAGCATTTGGCCTGAGTGTGAGTATGAATTTAAGTAATTTAAGATAATTAATACATTTTCTATTTTTTTTCTAGGTGTTCTAGCTACGGAAAATGGAAATTCTACTGAATATATACAAACACTGGGTGGCAAAGTCACCTTGAATTGTTCAGAATCTTACCTAAGTGCAACTTTTATTCATTGGGAGCAAACAGATACAATTGGAGTGAAAGAATACAAGTCTATAATAAGTCATGATTGCTTATCAAATAGAATCCAAACATATAATAATACCAGAGTAACAACTCCAAATACAACTTGTAATGCACCAAGTAAAGATTTTTATCTTCAGATTGAGTCTGTAGACGTGACTGATGAAGGGGAATACAAATGTGACATTGCAACTCGAAAGGGAAATTTTCAAAAAATCTTTTCATTAACAGTCATAGGTAAGACTACTTGTACTTGAATCTTCTCGTTACCCAGAGAGTTTGATCTGTTGTGGGGTAGACACACTGATATTGTAGTTTAAATAATTTATAGTAAGTATATGAAACCTGGGGTTGGGGGGATTTGAGATGTATAGACATGACATTGCTATATTTTGCAACGGACTGGTGTAAATGCATATCAGATTGTGGGATATTTATCAGGGCTGGATATTCACTAGGCTGGAGTGGACTGGATAGATGTGTCCAAGGTGAGGATTATCAATTATCGAACCTAAAATAAAATGGTGGAATGTTAGTTAATAATTATTGACTTGTTTCGGACATCGCTCTGGATGACACAATGGTTTGCTGTGTCTGGGGTATTGCATTTTCTGGGCTACATATTTATCGGATCAGAGGCAGCACCCGAATGCTGATTTACAGGATACAGGCTAAATGGATCGTGTTTTTAATGATAAATCAGCCATTCTCCACAATCAGAAGAAGTTAGATTTTTGGATAACCGGCTTCGGCTTTAATAATTATTAATTCTTAATAGTTTAAGAAAACTCATGTTTTGGTATGAATGTTTTTCTGTTATTTTTTAGTACCACCCAATATCTCAATAAGTTGTGAAAACAATTCAAATGGAACGAAAACAGCAGTGTGCACCGCGTCAAATGGGAAACCAAAGGGAAACATCACATGGCAGCCAACCAATGAGGAAAATATCATCAGTACTGTAGAGAACAGTAATAGTACTGTGACTGTACAAAGTAAGTACATCATAACGGATACCAGCAACTACAAGGGACACCTGACCTGCATCGTGACACATCCAGCACTGAAGGAGAGACTAAACTATGTATTTCCACTCTGTAAGTATATCTACAATAAATATTACATTACTGATGTATGTTGCTGATGCTTTTATTGAATCACGACACAACAAAATCAAAACTGGTGAGGTTTTCAGAAATTATTGAGTTTGTTGATCTTTTGTTTTTGATCTGCTTTTAGGAATAGGGCAGAGCTGAATGCAAATACAATTTGTAACATATTAGATAAAATAAACCCTGGAGACTCCACACACTGCAAAAACACCAGTGTTTATGGCTTGCAATCCAGTGAGGAAGATCGTAGCCTCTAAATTTATATTGCAGGCTCCAACAGCCAAGCACTGTGACCAATTCTAAGTGATTAGTGGTGCATGTTATAACAGCTATTTGTGGAAAATAATTGTACAATAATACAAAATTATAGTACATTGCTCACCCTGACTCAGCACCTCTGGCTCTCCATCACCAGTGGATAGACTTCAAGATCCTTGGCCTCACATTCACCTCCTACCACAGTCTTGCCCCACTCCATCTCTGTGGTCTCCTGCAAGAGAGGAGGATGTCATTACTAATATTAGCTAATTAAATCTACACTTTTCACCTTCTACTCAAAGTGAGTTTATGCCCCCATGTTTTAGCTTTTGTGACAATGCAGAAGATATCAATAGGGTTAAGTTTAGGGAACACTTGTGTAAATCCAATATTATCTGCTTTAGTTTACAATGGTATTTCTGTTTCATTAAAATTTCCTTTATTACTTTTGATAAAGAAATGAGTACATTTCACTTTTGTATTTTTATACACTTTATATTTCACTTTTACTGTTAAAAGTACAGATTATGGTGAGCATAAACAAAAGCAGCAGTGATGCATAGAAACATAGCTGTAGTTATTTCAATAATAAAAGCATGTCTATATCTTTATAAAGAAATCTCTCATGCAATAAAATATCTGATTGGTGCCCGTCTTTTATAGATTGCAGTCCATCTCCAGGCAGTTCATCACCAAATATTACTATTGCCCTGTGTAGCGTGTGTCTTCTCTGCTTTGCACTAACACTAGCCAAGTGCTTCTTCCACAAACAACTCAGGTGAGATTAACAAATTAGAAATAAAAATTGTGTTCTGTAATGCTGTAGCATTGCTATTACCAAACCATTTAAAATTCCACCCTGTTGATAATTAAAGACATCGAGTGGCCCATGGATGTGATCCCACTGACTTTGAAATTCAGATATTTCAGGGATATTAAGTTACAATGTGTGGTGTAATTTAACCAGCTAGCCCTGGCATGAAATCTCCTGATTTGCTTCACTAAAGAGTGTGTTGTTCCCACATAAAGGTTGCATACAAAGGTTGGGAGTAGAGCTGAAGTTATCTTGGGAGATTGCACTGATTAGGATGCTAGAGTGATGGACAGAAGTATTACTACAGACAGCAGAATTGCAGGAACATTGAACAGTAATGTAATAATATGATATAATAATAATCCTTGGATTTGGTGTAGCGTATTTTATGTCGGGAGGACATCCCAAGATCTTCACATGATATATTGTGATATTGTACCGTAATATACAAAATGTGTTTTGTGAGCAATGTTTTGCCCTGTCTAATGATTAGGAAGAATGAGCGATAAGTGGGAGTCACATGTGTTACCCCAGTTACACATGATAAGACCATCCCATTCATCTTATTTATGATGCCCAAACAGATCAGGGTACAAGGCTGACTTCAGTTTACAGGAAGGCATTTTGTAAAATGTAAATATGAGACAGTAATCAGAAGAGGGGAGAAAACAGATATGATTAGAGGTTAGGATTAGAGGTGAATAAAAAGTTTAGAAGATTCATTAAATTATAAAAATAAGGCTTTAGATCAATCAGTTTTTAAAAATGCTCATGTTTTTCCCTGATGCCTGATAAATACTGTAAATATATGGCTAATAGTATCAACTTTCATGTAAAGTTTACTGTTTGCATTTCAGATTTAAAATTTGTGGTTTGTGTAATGCTTTCACACATTATATAAATATCTACCACAAGGGATGTGAGTTTCTTGGTCTTTGGGGGAAAGGAAATAAAACATAGTTAGAGATCAAAAAACAAACATCTTCCTCTTTAATTTGCATTTTTATTTTGCTTACAGAAACAATAATTCCTCATGTTCCTGTCAGGTACGTCATCTATAAAATATTTGAGTTGTTGTAGTCTGCCTTTCTCAGCTGCTTGACCTTATGGTTTATACTCATATGGGGAGAAATTCTATCTTGGTCTAGGTTTTTATCGAACAATTCAAAACATCTATAATTTGGTGAATTGTTGACTTTAGTCTTAACTTTGAGCCTTTTTCTGTACTTCCCCAAGCCTGAAACCTCACCCATTCCGCAATTTGACTACCAAGACTACCAAGACTGAAAGTCAGGTCTGAAGATGAAATGGCTAAAATAATTTAATGAATTGTTTTTCAATTTTTTTTGATCTATCCTTAACGATTTTCCTTCAGTCACAATTTTTTTTGATCTATCCTTAACGATTTTCCTTCAGTCACAATTAACCATGATCACATGAAAAATTATGGAACCTGGAAAACTCACTAATATAATTAATCAGCAAAGAATGTGCGTATTTATGTTATAACATAGGCAGATGAAATCTCTGAGTTTTTGGTATTCAAATACAATTTGGACGATTTTAAGAAATAAGCCAAGAACAACAGCAACAAGATTACATTTGTATAGGGCCTTTCACATCGGGAGGAATAGAAAGAAGGAATAGAAAGAGGCCATTAGGCCACTGAAGTCTGTCCTACAACTTTATAAGATATGGCAGTTCTTTTAATGGTCTTTGGTTGCCTAACTTGATGTAATCTGAAAATTTAAAAATCTTCCAATGTGTCTGCAAATCCAGATCAATAATGTATACATGGAACAGAAGATCTCCCAGTACAGATCTCTGAGACACCACTCTTAATAACGTAACCACAATTTGACTGAACTGGTCTAATGACTTCCCTTCACTTCCTTCAGCCAATTTTGAATCCATGTCCATACCTCACCCTTGAAACCCAGTGACATTGGTTTGTATAAGATTCTCAGATACTTGTCAAACATCTTTTGTAAGTCTAGGTATACTATGTATATGGATTCCCACATCAAAACAAATCTATGTGGTTGATTAGACAAGATCTTATGAAGCCGCGCTGGCTCTTATTTATTAGGTTATCATTATAATTCATTCCATTAGCTTTACAATCATTGAGGTCAGGCTAATGGCTCTGTGGTTGTCAGGTATGGCTCTGTCACCGTTCTTAAGGGTAGCACATTTTCTCGATGGGGATAAAGCAATAGTTATAGCAAAAGCAATGCTCTGAGACATCCTCCCAACAGTGAAAGGTGCTATATATTGAAAATGTAAACTCTTTTTGCATTGCTTGGACTTCAAAATGAACCCCCTGATCTATGTTTATCTTACAGAAAGAGACCAAATCGGATGAATCCGTCACATATCTAGAGAACATCGTCTATGATTCACTGCAACTGTACAAGCCAAACTGTACAAGAAGAGAACTCTGAATGGTTACTGGAGAAGTAGTGTTCTGTTAAATTATGGCTAATGAAGTGTTAATTATCACCTGGAGTACTTATCATATTGGCAATAAATTTAGCCAATGTGATCAGTTGGTGTTTGGGGTCTGTCTGGACCACTCTCCCTCCTCCTCCTACCACCACCACCCCCCCACCCCCCCCCCCCCCCCCCCACCCCACTTACAATGAGCAGTGGACTGTCAGTTCACAAAATACTGCCGTAACTTTGATTTTTGTTGTTGGGATAAGGCAGTATCCTGCAGACCTGCACTCAGTCCAGTGGCCTCCAATTACACGTTTGGACAGAGTCGGAGTCACAGCCATAGGAAATCCTTCAACTCGGTATTGACTAATTGCCTTTATCAATGATACGATAATAATTAGCACCAAAGTTAATTAACACATCACTAGGCACAATTGTCTATTCTGCTGTAAAGTGTTTGACTGGCAAGTTGCTGTGTGCTTCAACAGGAATTTTTTACTAGACAATTCATCCATAGAAAAGCTGTTGGAGTGGAAGACAAGCAGACATTGCTTGTGAGAGCATGTGTGTGGGTTGGAGTGGGGTGGTGAGTGGTTGTTAGGAATAGGAATAACTCGGGGGCTTCAGGGAAATAGAAGATTATGGGTTGTCAGAGAGACAAGCTGACACAAGCTGACGTTAGCTCACCCTCCAGATTACTTTCACTCCATATAAGTTTATAACGTCATCACTAATATAGCGGAGATCAGATCACTGTGATCGCTGCTAAGTAAGGGGAACTGCAGAAGCAAACACATATTCTACTCTTCTTTGTCACTTTACATTTGATTACTAATACATTGCATCAATACACTGGCTCTTTTCAATTGATACCTGGTCAAGTATCAATCACTCAGCTTTTCATTCACTGTATAAGACAAGTCATACGTGCCTCAGAGGCAGTACTTCATTTTATATATACTGGAGAAGAGAAATAGAAGAGCTACACAGAATTGAATAAGAGGTTTTGTAAGATTGCAACAATGAAAAGTAGTTAAATTTAATTCAAAAGTACAACTCAAATTATAAAAGCATGTTAACTCTGACAAATTATTATATTTGATTGATGTAAATCGACCTGTTCATTATAAAATACGCATAATGCAATGCTTAATGATTGTTAGCGGGCTTGTGTAAGTTGAAGGAGGGCTGAAAATATAAACTGATTTGAAAGATTTATTTGCTTGCACCAAAAGAGAGAAAATGCATTTGAATGTATAGCAGCTAAATTAAGAAGAAACTTTATTTTGCTCTGCCTACAACTTATTAATGATAATAATTTTATAAAGATATACGTACAGGGATAGTTTAACAGCTGTTTTTTGTTTTTCTGTATCCATTCAGTACAAGAAGTGTTGATTTCCCTCTTATACAGGTTTATACAGAATAAAAAATTGTGTTTCATGGGATAATTATCACCAGTTATATGTATTTATCGTAAGAATGGACAATCAGTTGTTTTGTTTCCGCAACAATCTGTCCTTAAAGATGAGCTTGGGACTGCCTCCCCATCTCCCCCCACAACATCTCCAGAAATGATTTGCTGCCACCCTGGATTTTAATATAGTGATGGAATCCTCTCTTTGATTCCTAGTCTCTATGCCTGTTTTTAACTTAATTGTTTTACTTTTGAAATTACTTTAGATCATCATTACAAAGTGAGAACTTCACATTCTCTGGGACTCAATGCAAGATCTTCCAATCAGTGTTATATAAAGTATAAGTTGGCACCAAAGACAAAAGCATTCTCCCTCCAGACATTTAGAGAGGAGTGTGGGGGGCATTAATCAGACCCATGAAATAGCCAATTTTAATAACCAAACTGGAAAAAAATCTTTTTTCTCAGCATCAATATTTTTAGCACCTAAGATTGTTTGATGCAATGGTCACTGAAAATTTGGTGCTGATAGCACATGTTTTCTCACGTTATTTCCACTGAATGTCATGTACATTTGTTTCTGAGCCAGCCCTTTGCAGTGTGGGTTTATTATCGCACAGAGGCGATTCACACCCTAAAGTGCTTAAGTCAGTATAAATTATTTTCATGATCAGCTAGGATAATATATGGTTAAGTAGCAGAAACCAGACATCCACTACAGTACCGGAAACCACATTTGACATTTTGCCTTCACTGTGTGGCACAATACACTGGACAAAGGTGTCAGTTGTTAACCAGCTGCCCACTCTTTCCCCGAAGCAAAGATTATGCCAGTCAGCCTCAGACCTAGCCCACCTGATAGATAAAAAGGTTGGGGAGAATGTGAATGTAGTAACAAAGCTAAGGGTCACCCTTAGAAACAAAGGCCCCTTGTGTTAATATTGATCGTATAATATGGAGGCGATATGCTAAGGGAATAGTAAAGTTTGTGGTATTTGATAATTAACACTGATGTAAATTAATGGCAGAGTTAACGATCACCACACTTGTGATGACCGCACCACATGACACTCCGGGACGCTATCCTGCGTGAGGGGCGCTACATAAATGCAAGTTGTTGTTGTGATGTTTAGTGAGAAAGTAAATGCTGAACTGTATTCACATTCAGTATTTCATCAAGTGACCACCAGGTGACAGCACCTTCTTTTATTTTGATGTACATTTTTGCTTTTAAATTCTAGCCCTAGAATGTCTTCTTTTGTTTAATAGTTAAACACCTTGTTAAACAATTAAACATGTTAAGAAGTTGTTAAACAACCATCTGGATCCGCTAAAGAGGGTGAAACTGGACTCTCTCCAGCCCAGGGTTTTCTTCCTGATATGGACTGAAGCCTTGTGTCCCACCTGAAGCCTGAGATCATGATCAGGGAATTAAACACTGGGCAGGGAAGAGCACCCATTTCTCCCTTCTTCAACATATCCCACCCAGAAAACACCTAATAAACAAGATTAACAAGAACATACTATAATTTGAATATAAACCATTCAAACAAAGATGGCCCATGACAAAACTAGCCATCACTACCACCTGGTGGTGATGTGGTGTTTATACCATGTTCAATGTCAATATTGTGATGTTTGGTCTTAAACAAATATTACAAACTGCAGCAATATTTAAAGCTGGTGTTTATTCTCACTAATGTTAGATATTATCCTGAGATTTCCAAATTATCTGGTCTGCTCTGGTACAAGATGACTTGCCTGCCTGAAACAGTATTAAATAACAGAGAAAAATAAAATTACATTAATAAATAATGCTTATTTATTGTAGAATTGGATATATAAAACAAAGATGAAGACTGCTTTCATGTATCAAACAGTATCAATAGTGGCAGTAGTATAACAGTGTATAATCAATAACCAGTGTATCAATTTAACAAAGACACAAATGTATTGGATGCTTGGAAAATAAGCTTCACGGACAAGGAGTCTGATCTGAAGAGGGGATGTCCCTCATGCTTACACTAATAAGACTGTTCCTTAATCACTATCATAAAGAGAAAACATTCAAAACGATAGAAGGTGCCAGGAAACGTGTAGTATAAAATAAACTATAGCTTCAAGGAGAGGTTCTTATCTTATCTTATCAGAGGACAAGTTAATGAACAATGAGAGACATTGATTTAAATGTTATTAATTCACTGCAATTGAAATGGAGATTTGGAGTACACCTCATAATTTCAAGGAGAGAAATTATAGGTTTCATTTGAATTTGGCAATTTTTGACGTAAAAAGGAAGAATTGTAAGTTGGTTTGCTAAGTAAAGTTTAGGTTGTATGTGAGTAAAATAGAAAATATTTCCCAAATCATGATATTGCAAATGGTCCTGGTGTCAGAGAAGTAGCCTAGTTCCATGAAATAAAATTTCCAACTATGAATCTCCACTCAGATCTAAAGTCCATCTGAATGTACTTCTCATCTTGCTAGTCTCCCATTTAGTTTCATACAGTGATACCTACAATATAAACTATTAATAGGATTGTTTAATAAGGAAACAAGAAGTACATTATGCTGACTTGCAGAGACAAACTACTTTCAAAGTAGACTTCCTGGAATTCTGTGTGATATGTGTGACATGCCTAATCTTACCAGAAGAACTCCCTACTGTATTCCCTTATTAAGGAATCTTTGAAATTGCTGCATATTAGACCCCATTGTTCAGGAGCAGGTTCAAATACCGCAGATTTGATAGTGGATTATCCCAAAATTATATATTATTATATTATAATATATTTTTAAAGCAAAAGTCTTGAAGATAAAACTGTCTGCACATTTTTAATGCTGTTATAAAACAATTTATGACTTAATTTAAAAGCTTCACTTAAAATTACATTTGTAATTTATAAAAATAGACCATTTTCGCTAACAAACAAGATCACTATCAATCTTTGGATGTCCATCATAAAAGTTAAAAAAATAGGATTGGAAGTTGGCAAACATTGTGGCCTTAGCATAGCATATACCACATATTACATACAACAACAACTGGCATTTATAAAGTGTCCTTCACACAAGTAGACATACTGCATACTATAAGCTAAATATCTATTCAGCAAGGTACATAACTGTTTCTATTCAACTATCACAAACCACTGTAATATGTCCCTTCCATTCTTTATTGCAAGTAACAGGGATTTTTTTTATCAAAACATGGCGTCACTCCAGTTGTGTATGTGAATTAAGAAGCAGATGAATATGTTTCAAATCTAGACAAATTCAAATATATATTTTTATCTTGTATTTCATTTGATTAAATAATCCATTTGCTAATAAAAATTAAATAATACAGTACTGAATTATTTGCTCTGGATTATATTTGGATTTAATATCAGGTTGAGATGGATGTGATATGTTCTGCACAATACATGTTATGCTTTCTCGAAAAGTGTAGTTTTTCAATAGGTATTGTAATAGCATCATTGTAGGTAGTGGGTAGAAAACACAGTGATTAATATCACCTAACATACCACAATTTTCCGCTGGGGATTACGTGGGCTTGATTTGAGTGCACAGACTTTATTCAATTTAAATCACAGGAAATCACTGAGGTTGAAGCACACATTAAAAGGTATAAACTAGAAATAT